TTCTCCCACTTGTAAATTACCTACCTTCTTTTGTCCTTGCTTACAGTTCTTACAAAATCTAAAACAAAAACTTATAATACGGATTAACTTTAAATATTTTTTTCTGCAATTAAATAAATTATTAAAAAAATTATTCACATTTAGATTTAAACATGTTGAAAGTTCAGAATCAGCAAAGTTTTTAAGTTCATTACTGTCCTTTTGAGTAATTGCTTCAGGTATAACTCTTATAGGGTACTCATCCTTCATTAAGAAGTCAGGTCCGTCTACCACAGTTGACTTAGTTGCAGTCTTTCGGCAGCCATATCTCTAGATATGAGATCTGATTTATTTTCTTCAGAAGCGATACGATGCCACTGTGCAATTTCAGTCAGTTCTTGTATCTTTGAAATCCGGTTTGCAACAAATGTCTTGAGCAGATGTGGCTCTTTCTTGATCCATGACAGCACAATCATAGAATCAGTCCAAAGGTGAATAGCAGTAAGCTCCAATTTTAATGATGATTTCACTCTATGCATTAGTGTAGCTAATAGCACTGCTGCGCAAAGCTCAGGTCTTGGGATTGTAGTCTTCTTTAGGGGGGAGACACGCGATTTACTGCCCACCAACCTTGCTGATGTGGCTTTACAGTAGGTAACTGCTCCATAGGCGGCGTCTAAGGCATCAGAGAGACCATGTAACTCAATCTTGATTGTATCTGGTTATAAAATACATCTTCTCCACTACCTTGCAGTTAATTAACATCTATGGAATTTGTTAATTAACTGCAAGGTAGTGAAGAATTCTTTCCATTCTTTAGCCTCCTTTTCTGGCAGAACATCATTCCAGTTCAATTTTAATGGCCATAATTTCTGCATAATTATTTTTGCTATAATTATAACTGGGGAAACTATACCCAATGGGTCAAAGATGCGAGATATGACAGATAACACTTGCCGTTTCGTAACCTTTACGTTGTCTTCGATTTTAACGTTGAAGCTCAAAGAATCTTTTTTTAACTTCCATAAAATACCCAATGCTTTAGATTTTTCTGATTTACCAAAGGGATATGTTTTGTTGTTTGTTTGACATAGTTCAGTAGCATTACTACACCACTTATGGAGTAACATACCTTCACTCTTCAAATTGCCTATTAACTGATTTGAAGTTCTAACGCAGAACCTAGCGACTCAGCTCCAGATAGAATATCGTCCATGTACATGTCTTCTTTCAGTACAGTTGCTGCTAAAGGAAATTTATCTCCTTCGTCCTTTGACAGCTGTACAAGTGTCCTCATTGCTAAAAATGGTGCATTCACAGTACCATAGGTAATGGTGGTTAAACTCAAAGTTTTTAACTGGCTTATCAATGCCTTCTTTCCATAAAATCCTTTGCAACTTCCACTGATTTGGATGGATAGAAATAGCTCAATACATCTTTTGTATATCTGCAGTGAAAGCAAAAATATATTTCCTGAATCTCAGCATAATTGAGAATAAATCATCTTGTATCCATTATATTGTATAGTATATAGAGAGTTTCCTTTGGTTGTCAAAGAAGAAGTATTAAACACTACCCTCTAGGGAGTCGATTTACTTTTCTCTTCTCCCCTATATACTCTATGAGGAATGTAATATGATCCTTGTTCTCCTCGCTTTCACTCACCTCAACCATATGTCCTAACTGTTGATATTCTTTTAAAAAATCTGAATATAATTTTAAATATTCGTGATTCTTTACTAAGCATTTCCATAAGGAATTTAATTTACTCGTTGCAATTTGTTTAGAACTTGCTAAAGTTTCCAGATCCTCCTTTAATGGTATTTTAACAACATACCTTCCGATTTTATCTCGTGTATCATTTTCTACAAAATGTTTCTCACAAATTAAAGATTCTTTGTTTTGGGGTTTATCAGTTTCAATATTCTCTAATTCCCAAAATCTTTTAAGAGTTTTATCTAAGTTGTCTTCTTCCTTTATCAACCCACAATGAACCCTGTTTTCAGTCTCTGTTGGAATACTTCCAGACACAATAAAACCAAAAACTGTATCTTGAAAAATAAGATCAGGATTATTTATTCGAATTTGACTCTTTCAAAAGTTCATAAAAAAACTCCTGCTCCCAACAGCATATCTACCCTTTCTGGAACATTAAATCCTTCATCTGCTAACTTTAAATTAGGAAGATCTTGCACTGAAATTTTAATTTTGTGCGAAGGTGTTAAATCAACAGTTATTTTTGGAATTACTAAAAAGTCCAAATTCTTTATAAGAGTTCCTTCTTTATTGCATATCGAAGCATTAATTTTATGCTTTATTGCCAAAGTAGCATCATTTATTCCCAAAACCGAAATGTTTGTTTTTCCTTTCTCTAACTGCAAATAATCAATAAAATTATGTGTCAAAAAGTTTGACATACTGCTGCCATCCAGCAGACACTTCACTCCTTATCCATTAAAAAACATACAACGGTTGAAAGCAAAAATGTATTTTGTTTGTTCGAATAATTGCTAATAAATGCCTTTTGAACGAACTTCTGTGCATTAATATTCAAGGTCGATGAGTCATCTCGTTTGGGAATGTTGCAGTCAGATACATTTGTTTTGTTTTTATTTTGTTCCGATGAAGAACATTCTTTCTCCTTTACGACATTTGCTTTCGGAAAACGAATAGTTTTGTGATGCCGTTTTTGACAAAAACAAGAATATTTTGATGGTCAATTTGATACTGCGTGCATATGTAGACAGTTAAAACATAATTTGTTAGATTTCACAACCTGTACTCTATCTTGTACCTGATATTTTAAATACGACGCACATCTGTGATTCCCATGGCATAAAATACAGTTCTCTGTTTTAACATCTGACAAAAACACTTTAGCTACATTTTTTGAGCTGTTATACTTACGATTAACATGAGAATTCTCAGTAAGAGGTTTTCCTCGTGACGTTGAAATATAAATCTATTTCTTTACCTAACTCACTAGGTGAAAACCACGAATCACCTTGCCTCACTGAAATGTGAGAAGCTGTTCCCGTATCTAAAGATTGGTATAACCTATCTGAAAGTATTAGTTGTTTGAGGGTCTCGAAGTCAGTTACCTTCCTTAATTTTAAATAATAATCCCAGGTAGTAACTAAATGTGAAGCAAACTGCACATGAGTTTCATGTGGTTGTTTAACAGTTTTTCCAAAGTTTTCTAAACATGAATATGGTGTTGGCTGAAACTCCTTCAGAACTAGTTCTTTTACTTTTTCATAATTTGCTATATCCTTATCATGTAAATAGGTTATTATATTCAAAGCTTTGTCTCCTAACAGATTTAACAGAATTATTAGCTTTATTGTCCTCCGAAACATTTTTGTAATAAATGCTCGTTCTAATAACGAAAAGAAAAATCCCCAACTCTCAAGCCGTAGAGGAATTTTTACAGTTAAGGTTCTGATACTTTTTATTAATTGATCTAGTGACTTTGATTTTGTTTCGATTTCGCTTACAGCATCAAATTGTGTTTCTGCTTTAAGCTTAGCCAACTCATTCTTTGATCTCTCAAGTTTTAGTGTTGTAGTGTTCTAACTCGACAAGTTTTTGCTGTTTTTGCTCTTCTTGTTTCCTGTTTTTGATAATAGAGTTTGCTATCTCTTTTACTAAATTGTTTAATTTTAAAAATTTCACTATTCTCAATAATATCAGTTAAATCTGCTATAGTCATTTTTTTGTCAACATTTAGATTTATTTCTAAGGCATAAATCTTCTTTTTTAGCACCCTTAAATAACATTGTTATTTATAACAGAACAAAGCACAGAATGTACAGAATTAACAAGAGAGGAATCACTTACCTTTGCAGTGATTTACTTTTGATCCTTATCCAAAATCAGCGATATTCGTTGAAAAGAACAAGTTGGGAATACTGGCAAACACAAACACTCCTGCGTTCTCAAAAATGAAACACTTTGTATTCATGCACAAAACTCAATCTCCGGCCGACTACGACCAGATATGTTTGGGTCTCGTCCCAAATAACACACACTATAATAAATTCGCTGGTTCTTTATTAGTTCTCATAATTAATTACAATCACTCATTAACTCATAGCTGTGACCAACCCTCGTACACCGTCGATGGCAATTCTCAAACTTGTCTAATCATAACATTGCAGATGCGCATGCGTGGATTACATTACAGGTACACAGGCGCGAACAGTATGTAAATTATTCCTGCTTTACAGAAAATTTTCTACTTTCCTCCTCCAGAACTGTAATCTAACTTTATTTACCCTCTGACTGGCACAGGGTTTTCCTAACAAAGCCCAAATTTCCAAAAACTGCCTTGAGCTATTTTCTTGATTTTAGTGCCAAAAATTTCCCTATTACTTTATACCTATATTTATGAACTTTTAGTGTATTGCCTTTAATTTTTTGAACATATTTCAAAATGCATGTATATATATGTTCTTACAGACATCACAAAAAGTATTCTAGCCTGTATATGTATATATATATATACAACCTTACTGGTTAGAGGGTTAACTATATTACGTGTATTAAACTATATAATTTTAAAAAATGCTGTGCGTTTGTTAGTATTACATATTAGATTTAGGTACTGTTCTGTTATCGGGACCAGATTCAGAAATTTATGAATGTATGTATGTATATTGTGTGTATGTATACACACACATATATTCGTACTTACATATATATATATATGCAAACATAAACGCATCCATACACACATACATTTCTGAATCCAATCCTGATAACAGAACAGTGCCTATATTTATTCAGGAGGTCATACATAAATCCCATTGAACTACAACGATGTGGTATGCATCTACTTTATTTTTTTAAGGTTTATATATATATATAATATAACTATCATTAACATTTTCATCTATTTTTTTGCCAATACCTGATTTTACCAATACATCCAATACCTGATTCTACAGTATTTTAATTTTATAGAAAAGTTATTAAAATTCATATATCATTGCAAAATTTGAAAATTGTTTGTTTTTTAGATGTGCAAAAAATTCATTGAACAAAATAAACTACAGCGACGTATTGAAGATGAAATCAGAATACACTCTCAACTGGATCATTATGCAATTGTTAAGGTAATTCTTGTTATGCACAGTAGTTAAAATAATTGTTCTTCATGTGTATTGTTAAGGTAGTCTTTGTTTTCTAAACTAATTGTAGTGCATTAAAAAGTTATTTGATTATCCTATGCATTACTTGTAACTACGAAATATGTTACTTTATTGTGTATGCCAGTGGTTTCCAAACTTCTCCGAGTCACGGCGCCTTTTTTTCAATTAAAATGTTTTCATGGCGACCTACCACAAGTAAAGATATGACAAGTTATGTGTAAGAGATTAAAAAAATAAAACTCATATAGCTTCATTATAACAAACAAGAAGTTATATAACACTAACTATACTATATAAGATAATTTATATCACCATTTACTCATATGAAACCCAAAGTTTAATTTTACTAGACTTAGATTATAAACTGACTGAAACTAGCCAGCAACACTTGCTTATGCGTAAGATCTTCCAGAACAGTCCAAATATCTCATCTACATTAACAGTCAACCTAAGTTGAGAACACTGTATTTGCATCCACCATAAAATGTAATTCTACCATTTTGAGGTGTGATATTGTAAATATTATGCTATGAAATATAAATATTATTGAGCAAAGAGAAATCAATGAAAAATCGATTATGTTACATCCAGCTTTTTATTTAAAAGTTTGCTAATATCATGTCAATCATTCGATGACCAATAGGAAGACATTCACTTTTTTGGCATTATTGGTGAAACTGCAAATCCCAGCAACTCTGACCTCTCTTCACTTTCGATGAGAAAAGCAATTAAAGCATTCACTCATTCACTGAGCGGGTGGAGCAGAAAGCAATTGTTATGGTGTCTTCTTCATCTTTGACATATGTATTTAATTTCAAAACATTATAAGGCTGGAAAACCACTATGCAGTTGTGAAAATATGGGAACATTTTGCATAATTTTGTTTTTTCATACTTTTGCTGCTGATTTGACTGGCATTTCTGTGGCAAGCATAAATCGCATGAAATCTGAACTGAAAGAAAATTTTTAATTTTTGACTTTGGAGGGAAAAAGGACCCCACGCAAACTCAAATCAAATGACATGGTGAGCTAACCTTAGCAATAAAGCAAAAAAAATTTCACCTTCTTGAGGTATAGCACAATCGTATGTTGCAATTAAAAAGCCGCTGCATTGCTGGCTTACATTTGTAAGAATATTTTGCAGTGGGGACTTTTTTTGTAGAAGGACAAGTGAAAACAAGCCATACAAAATATCTAGATATTTGTAGCTTCTATTTTATTATAATTATTATTATTATTTTTATTTTTTAAATTCAGTTAATTATGAAGCTTTTACAATATTTCAATATTGCCCCTGTGAAGAGGCCGTGGCTCCCCGGAGCACCACAGCGCACAGTTTTGAAACCACTGGTGTGTGCTTTACAAAATAAAATGTAAAACTTATGTTACTATGTAAAAGTGATGTAATTTGTAAAGTATTATTTTTGATCTTCAATTTTTATATATTTGTTTAATAGTTGTTATTACTATTTCTAAGACTGTAATTAAAATTAAGCATGTGTTTAACTGGAAAAAAGAATATGTTAGTTTTTTTTTTTTTTTTTTAGGCTATATTGGCCAACAGTATCTGTTTTTAATAAAAAGACTACTTTACTGCAGTAGTCATATAGAAGTATCTTAATTTAGATGCAATAATATCTTGATATTAGAAGGGAAAATTCACCACCTCCAGCTGAGAAAAATATTATATGCTGTACAATGTTATCTAAATTGATGCTTTTAGCAAAAAAATATGCCTCTTGTTATTCTAAACTGTAGCCAGCCGCAACTTCAGTTTTCAAAGTCAATCTTTTTTATTAAGAGAGAATATAAATAAAAAGTTAAAAGATAAGTTTGTAAAAAGTACTTTGTGAAAAGTACTGTAGTAGTCCTAGTATGCACAGAAAACTAATGAGAGGTGTGTGTGTATATTACAAAGTTTATGCATAGAGGTGTGTGTGTGTATTACAAAGTTTACATTGAGTTAATAAGGTTAAAAGCAGAGGTCTTGAGGGAGGAGCATTTTTCTCAAGTAAGAAAATACAACTCACTCCTACAATAATATATCACGATTTTGAAATTTATTTTTAAACTTGATGGAACAGCCACTTTCTTTGAATTCTATACAATGCTTTTACTTCTATTCATCTCACTTAAACTCTATTTACTTAGCTTAAACTCATCTTACTAAAAAACTATTTTGGCATAATAATTCTTACTTGAGTAAAAGAGGAAACACCTTCACATTTATTAATTATTGTTAATTGATCAGAGGTTGGTTTGCTGTAAAAAGATCGCCTCCTTCCCTTTCAGAAGTCAACTAATTTCTGGTCAATGACAATAATTACTTAGTTTATCGATTACATTTTCAATTTTAAGTATATCTTTTTAAAAGTCTTCATTTTCAATTTATTCAAGATTCATTTTTGGTGTTTTCATTTCAAAATTTTTTCAAGAATCAATTTTTAAATATGCTTCTAAGTTACTTCGTATAAACTGAATTCTAACTACCTTTATCAAAGGAGATAATGCACTAAATATCCATTTGAAGAGCCATTACATTATGACCACCCTCCATTTATAACAATAGGCTCGCCCAGGAACAAACCACTGTGCATGCATAGCTGATGTTAGAGTATATAAAGCAGCTATACATTATGTTTCCAAATTTAATTGTACATAGTGTTTATCCCAAAGGGCTTTCTTGAGTAAAGATAGAGACTTTGTGTAGAAATATTTATTTGAAAATCTGAAGAAAAACCCTATAAATAGTGTATTGTGAATCTTATTTTCATTAACATAGTCTTTGCTTATATTTACTTATTCAAGAAATTTATAATATTCCAAAATGTTTTTTTTTCATCACAGTATCTTGTTCAGATATGGCAATACTTCTCCAATTTACCTGCAAGAAAAAATTATTTATTTTAGAGACTTTGTCCATTCTATGATTTTCAAACCTCACGAATTCACTTTCACAGTGCCATTATCAATAAATTATGTATTTTATTTACATGATGTTAACTTCATTTTCAAGCATCATGCATTTCATTTCATGCATCAGCCGGAGTCAATTCTTAGGAAGGTTACCCTCACATGGCTGGCTTCGACCAATCACTAAACTTCAGCCGTTATATTTTAATTAACTAAGATTCATCCTATTTCAATAATTCCCAGTTGCATGATACTCCCAACTCATTACTACCTTCATTACGAACTACAAGTGTCACTTCCTCAAAAGATTCTGAAAATTGCCACATAAGAAATGCTTATTTTGCTTTTACATTCATTCCTTACCAATCCTACATTTCAAGATGCAGAGACTGGGGTCAGTACTTGGGGGAGGGGGTGACAGGCTTTGACATATTAGACCAAACGTTTGTTTACATTCACAACTCAAGCTACTTCTCATCATATAATGTAGTACTTGAACTATTTCGCCTAGTGGCAAAGCGTTTTTATGCTTTAATTTAATGCCAGTGCCTTAGGGCATATTTTCAAGTTAAGCGGTAAAAGCAGAGATTACTAAATGCCACTAAATACCATCTAAGATCCAAGTCTTTCCAAATATAGTGTGATTAGCATCATAAGCTGATATATCAGGCTGGAAAAAGCAGCTGATATATCAGGCTTTGTTAAAGGTCAAATCGTTATGGCTTGGTGGCTGAGAGTGTCAATATCAGAAACGGCACGTTTAGTGGGCTGTTTACATTCATTTGTTGTGAGCACATCTCGAAAGTGGTGTATGGATAATGAAATGACAATTTGCTGACTAGCAGTGTGTCGTCGACAGCGCATTGATCCCAGAAGAAAGTGGAGATTGCAACGCATTGTTCACCGTGATTGAAGAGCTACAACAGTGACAACCCAGACCGTGTTTCTCAACACACTGTGCAGTGTACATTGTGTGTATGGGCCTACGCAGTCGGAGGTCAAAGCATGTCCCTGCACTCAAGGCATGTCATCGCCAGCTGGATCTGCAATGTGCCAAGAAGCATCGGAATTGGACATTAGAAGAATGGAAAAAAATTGCATGGTGCTGCAAATCACATTTTCTGGTCCATCACATCTATGGGCGTGTGCTAATATGCCGATTTCTAAACGAAACCCCTGGCTTTCGGATGCACAGTTAGACGGAGACAAGCCAGTAGCGGAGGTATTATGGTGTGTGCAATGTTTTCATGGAGCACATTAGGACCCAGAATCCCCATAGAACAATCCCTGATGTCTGTGCAGTGTGTAAACATCATTGCAGACCAGATTCACCTATTCTTAACAGTATTTCCGGTGGGGGATGGTGTTTATCAACAAGATAATGCACCATGTCATAAGGGTCGAATAGTCAGGGAGTGGTTTGAGGAACATTCCAGTATAACTTTCAAGTCATGTCTTGGCTTCCAAATTTACCTGACATTAATCCAAAAGAGCAGTGGTGTTTTCAACCTTTAGACTAACGCTTACCATCTAAACAAAAAATGAAAACCTTTAGTACCACCACTACAAAGTGCTACTACCGCCACCACTCTTAAACTCTTAAACAAAACTCAGATCGCATAAATTTATGAGTGTTAGAGAGAAAACTCAATCACGATGTTGTGGTTTTAATTTTTTAATTTAATAGTTAAAAATATGTTGCTTCTTTGTGTACCACCAGCGATATGCATACCACCGGTTGAGAACCCCTGCAACGGAGCATTTGTAGTCTACTTGGAAAACCAAATTTGTGCTGCCATGCTACCTCCTCGCAATGTGTGGAAATTGCAGTACCAGGTGGTGAGCACTTGGTGCCAGATACCTCAGACTACTCATCGGAACCTTGTGGAATGAATGCCATGCCGCTTCAAATACCATAATAAATACCATTCAAATACCATAATAAATCTAAAACGACGTATAAAAGAAATTAAGCAAAGAACAACAACAACAAAAAATGAAATAAAATAAAATCTGAAAGGTGTCAGATTTTAAATTATGTCTAAAGGGGC